TCAGCCGATTAACGGTGTAGCAATACGAGAAAAAGCTTATATAAACTTTCGATAATAACCCGTCAACCCGAGAAAACTCCTGATTTTGTTGGTGTTTTTGGTGCTTCCCCCTTCTCGATGGCTACAATTTTGAGGGGATCCACTTTAATACCCATATCATAAATGACATGGCCAAAAAATTGGACTTCTCCTAACCATAACTCACATTTTGACATCTTAGCATACAACTTTTCTTGTTTCAGAAGCTCTAGAGTCAGCCGTAAATGATTTGTATGCTCTTCCTCAGATCGAGAGTATATCAGTATATCATCGATAAAAAACAATAACAAATTTATCGAGATATGGACGGCACACCCTATTCATCATGTCCATGAATACCGCTGGTGCGTTTGTAAGTCCCAACAGCATCACCAGGAACTCGTAGTGGCCATAGCGCGTATGGAATGTTGTCTTTAACACATCTTCTTCTCGTATCTTTAATTGATGATAACCGAATCGTAAGTCAATCTTTGAAAAATAACTGGCCCCAATCAATTGATCAAACAAATCATCAATTCTTGGGAGAGGATATTTGTTCTTGATTGTCAACTTATTTAACTCACAGTAATCAATACACATTCTCATCGATCCGTCTTTCTTCTTTACAAACAATACCGGTGCACCCCAAGGAGATGTACTTGGTCGGATAAAGCATTTATCGAGTAATTCTTTCAGTTGTGACATTAACTTCTTCATTTCAGATGGAGCTAATCTATATGGTGCACGAGCAACTGGCGTAGCCCCAGGTAACAACTCGATCTGAACTTCTAGCGATTGATCAAGAGTAAACTTGATAAATCTTCCGGAAACACTTCTAGAAACTCACTTACAATAATATCCTCCATATTTTTCTTTTCCTTCTTTATATCGATCACATAAGTGAGAAAACTGATACACCCCTTATGTACATACCTCCGAGCCTTTAAGACGAAAATAAGGCTGGAATAACGATCTCATCTATCACCATAGATTATAACCGATCCCTTCCCCGGTAAGTCTATATGAATCATTTTCTTATTACATATTATATTAGTTTGGTTTTTAGCCAACCAGTCCATATCCACAGTTATATCAAATTCCCTTAATGGCATAGGAAATAACTGAATGAGTACCTCACACCCTTCTACTGATATAGAACAATCATCAAAAACTTCCTTAACCGATACTCTGCTATCATTTGTTGTTTCTACCACCAGAACATCATCTAGCACCTTAGATTTTAAACACATGCATCCAACAAATGAAGACGACACAAAAGAACGATTTGCATCGGAATCAAATAAGATTTTGGCACATATTGAACTAACAAAGAATGTACCTGTCACCACTTCGGGGTTTTCTTCAGCTTCACCTTTCGTCATTTGAAAGGCTCGTCCCTTAGCCACTGTTTCTCCACATCTTACTTCTCCACGACTACCAGTAACCTTGCGATAAAATACTGGCCCCCGATTGGGTGGATGGCCCCTAGAATAACCCGATCCCCGCCCCTTTGCTTGTGGGCAGTCAGCATTAATATGTTGGGAAGAATTACACGTAAAACATCTTCGTATTATCCAGCAGTCTTTCGTTAAATGACCCGATCTTTGACATCTATAACACTTTCATGGATCATTGTTGCATTCTCCCTGATGTATTTTATGACATTGAGCACATGTTCTATTAGCAAATCTTGATGTTGGATGATTCTGATTTCCAACAAACCTAGGTCTATGGAAATCAGTCGTTATTGCCTCCCCTTTTTTTTCTCCCCAACCTTTTCTTGTGGTTACCGATTGATATCTTGTTCCAAAATTTTTGCAGCATCCACTGTCGCTTGAAAAGTAACTGGGTTCCTAGAAATTACATACTTTCTAAGATTAGACTCCAAACCCCAAATGTATTTTCTCACTTTGCTGCTTTCAATAGCAACATAGGACTTGGTGAATCGAGATTGTTCCATTAATACTTCAATGTACTGACGAAACCGTCATGTTGCCCTGTTCTAATCAAAGAAAATCGTCTTCTAGTTTCCAAACCGCAGCTTCAGGATAATACTGAACTTTAAATTTTGCCACAAATTCTTCCCACAACATTGTCTCCAAAATGTTCGGATTTGAACTCATCATGATTTCCCACCAATACAATGCACTTGACTGCAACCTTGATATGCCAAACATTACTTTATCCTCTTTCACACTTTTACTAGTCTTTAAACTTAAATCGATCTCCTTAAGCCAACACATGGCCTTGACAGGATCACGCTCTCCAAAAAACTTAAGAGGCTTGCATGCAAGAAACATCTTGATATCACCTCCCTTTTGTGCTGAGGATGAAGTAGATGGTGCGGATGTAGTTGTCACCAGTGTACTCGCCCCGGCTTCTTCATGAAGATTCAGATTCACCATCCCTTCCGGATTATACTGAGTGGAACGCCCTAGTAGAGTTACTAGATTATCCTGAAATTTTCCCAGCTCGGCTACTAACATTTCTTGAGTAATAAACTTAAGGTTATGAACACGACCTTTGTTCCTTGTTTCCCCATCCACGGCCTAACTTTGAACTTTCTTGTATTGACCTTTTCTGTTCCGTATGAATTTCTTGTTGAACACCTCTTCCTCTTCCTCGGCCCTGGCCCTCAACTCCTTGTTTCTATGGTTGTAGCAATTTCTAGATTTATTTCAGTGTTGAAGTTTCCTCTTCCCCGGCCTCATCCGAGGCCTGCAGAAGTTCTCCTAGTGATATTCCCTAATCCAGGATTCCCTTCTTCGGAATTCACAGGCACAATCTTCCTTGAATGAATAGGATTATCTATCATCTTACTTAATACTTGTAACTCTTTAACTGTCACAATAAAAATGTATACAATTAATCACATATTTCAGTATAATGACATGTTCATGTTCCAACAGGCACCTTAAACACAAGATTACACTTATTGCATGTAATCTCATTCTACCGTACTTGCCATCATTATAAACCCGATTATAACCCATTCCCAGATTCAAAATCCCAATGGAATCTATTATCATATAATTAACGCATCTTTTTTTTTATTAACCTGGATATCCAACCCGCTATGCGAGCCGACTAATTCCAAGGCGCCCACCTGCTTTGCAAATAGCCCGGAGTCACCGCATTTGAACATCTGTGGCCACAAGGGGATTTTTATTCCTCCTTGGATTTGAACCTAGTCTAAGTATTAGGGAAAATACCTAGATCTCTTAAACTAAAGCCCTGATATCAAATGAAACAACCCACCATGTACTAACAAGTACCAACAACTAACTTCATGAACATAGCATACATCAGGTTTCAATATTTACAAACATCAATACCTTTCACATATAATAACAAAAGTTTGAATTTCAAAAATTCATCATAACAAAAACTTTCTTCCATGATTCATTCACATCTTCCCCTTGTCTTTATCCTTCGATGTTGGATGACCTAAAAAATAAATTATTACAACAACTGAGGGTTAGACCGGAAGGTCTAGTGAGTGAATTTCCCTCCTGTAAATAAAATATGTCGTAACACTTTAACACATTTCAGACCTGATTTTAAATGATAAAATTATCAAACATTCATCGCGGTTACACCACCATCTATTATCTATCGCGGTTACACTGTCATCTATTATCTATCGCGATTACACCACCATCTATTGCGGTTACATCGCCATCTATCATCTATCGTGGTTACACCGTCATCTATCATCTATCGCGGTTTCACCGCCATCTATCAATTAGAGTTCAAAACATCACATTTTATATAACATTATGAGCGATGAACACCCTTATCCGGACAACGCTGTGAGCGATGAGGGTCAATTCGGACAACACTGTTAGCGATGAAGACCTTTATCGAACAACCCTTTTGACTTTGAGCGATGAGAGTTCAATTTGGACAACACCTTGAGCGATGAAGGGCCTTATCGAATGAAGCTTTGAGCGATGAAAGGCCTTATCGGTTGAAGCTTTAAGCGATGAAGGGCCTTATCGACTGAAGCTTTGAGCGATGATGGCCATTATCGGATGAAGCTTTGAGCGATGAAGTTTTCTAACAGACTTGATATAATGCTATTTTGATACTTACACTTTCTAACAAAAACAAGTAATTTCTATATGAAAGGTAATAACTCACAAGTTATCAAAGCCATGTAAAACTCACCTTTAATCGGAGACCTTACCGGATGCTCTAACTCTTCTCTATTTCAATCAAGTTTTTACCAGAGTTTCTTTTTACCAAAACCAGTATCCAAAACCCTTTTCAGTTCCCTCTTCACTTGCTATTTACAATAAGTGAAGTAAAGAAGAATAAGGAGGAAGGTGGTTTTGAGGCGGTGCATGCCCCTTCCATCACCTTTTCTTAAAAACACTCATTGGACCAAATTCACACTTTTAAAAAAAAACGCTCATTGGACCAAATTCACATAACACAAGGAGGTGACCATGTCTTTGACCATTGATCCCGCCAAACTTTACCCCTGAATTTTCATAATTATTTACTTTCAAAACCTGACCAGCTAAACTTAAAAACGAATATTACATCAAACCACACGGACGAAAATGATAGTTTACTCTTTAATATAAATAGTTCAATAATTAACCAATTTGCCATCATACCCTTATTTTTGTTTTACCAAAATACATTCTTGTCCCACTCAAAATCACGCCATAAACTATTTTAAATGTCATTACAAACATGACTCAGTTTTAGTTTTAGTTTCATCTTCAATTGGGAAGACCAAATTTGTTGTAAAGCTATTCACTTGCACCAAATTTTACACCAAGTAGAAAACGATCAAATAGAAAATACCTAAATCTTACAGTATGACACAAGATTTGGTGTACTTATTTATTGTTTGAACCAAATATCACACCATCATTTGTGAATTTGGCATACTGTAAGATACCCATGGGATATGCCCTAACATGACAAAACCTCAGGTACCAAATGCACCCTAACATAACACAAGCAAAGAACAAGCGATAGAGAGCTGATTCAACCACGCCCAACATACAAGCAAGAGTCAGATTTTAACGAGTATAGTTCCAAAAATCCAATGAGACGACCATAAAAGATTATGTGAAATCTCAAATCTATAGTCCAAGTACGGTAAAGCATCACAATAACAAAAAACGACACAGAGAAGAAACTCGAATCTAATCATCTAAAATACAAGCTCATGTGGTTTCATGCCTGCCTTGAGTGAAAATCTGGCACCCAAATAGCTCTTGAGATCAGGCACACATTCGATCAACTTTACCAATGCTGCATCCAGGGTTTTCTGATCATCTTTCTTCTCCTGCGGCAACTGGTTCTTCTCCTATATAACCATATTATTTGTCAAATTCAGATATGAGTTCAACCATTTCAGCAACATTTATCCATTGGTACCATCTCTTACAATCTTTTGAATAAATTTGAAGTAGAACCATAGTGCACCAAGACTCAGCCCACCTCCAAACTTTTCCCCCAAATCTAACCAACTATGTTTGACAAACAAGTTTTTGGCTGAAGAGCTAATTGCTGGTTAGTAAGCTAGCCATTAGCCATTAGCCATTAGCCATAAGCTAGTCATGACTGGTAAAAACTAGCTGGTAACCTAGTCAACAATGTAAAATGACTTAAAAGAACATGTTCACAAAATCATTTAGAAAAATACAAGGGAAATAATTAGGGGAAAAGGTTAAAAAACCAGTGTTTATTGAATTGCTGCTTCAAGTAGTGTTTCATAAAACTAGGTCAAGACAAATAAAACAAGATTCTCAACAAGCTCAAAAAAACAGGCTAGTGTTTATGGTTGCCAACATATTTTACTCATGACCCAGGAAAGTTGTAACATTTGTTGTTCTTATTAGCTACTTGCCTACTTGAAGGGTAGGATGTACATTGATTAATTAGTTATCTAAAAGGTATTTAAACATTCAATTAACAGTGTGGTAATTTTTGAATTTGTATTAGTTTGAACCAAAAAAGAGAAATTTGTTGCAGAAAAGTAAAAGATGAAATTATTGAAAAGGTGGCAAACCTCCTTTTCAGCTTCAAAGAACTCTCCTTCTCCCTTCTTTTTCTTCTTCTCGACTTGCTTGGAGAAATACTTGTCATCAAACTTCTCCAAGTTCACTCCAGCAATGTCGACCTTGGTTGAGGTGGCAATCACATAGGATTGATTCACCCTCCTCAATGGAACACCATTAATCTTGAATGGACCTTCAAACCAAACATTGTTTTAGAAACAAAACCCCCCAAAGAGTATGAGGTATGCTAAACATGAAACCAGAAAATTTTATAAGACGGATAAAAGACGAGGCTCAATTGGCAAAAATTCTAGGCCAAGACATAGGTTGCTAGTTCGAATCTCCTCAGGCCAATGGGGATTTTCTTGGCTGTTATCTTCATGGCCCAGTGGAGATTGATTAGATCATCTATTCAGTAAACCAGTTTAATCAGATGTAAATTTTTCCAAAAAGCCATCAACTTCCTATGAAAACTATCAAGTTAGTTTTTTGGGACCAGAGAATGTATAAATATTTTAAGATTCCCATCCCCCTCACCCCAAATAGATTACCATGTAACGTACAATATCGAAAGCATAAAAAACCACAAACCAGTCCTTATAAACCAACAACAACAAACCCATTACCAAAAAAGACATGTAAGCTTGCAGATCAAACCATATAAAGCAACAATAAAACCAATTTGCAAAATGATGTTGGGGAAAGACAGCCCTCAAAAACAAAGCACATACACTGTAAAATGCACCAATAATTATGTTACTCAAAAGTACTTTATGCTCAATTTCCACCTATGATATTACAAAGATACTCCCCCTTCCAAAAACTAGAGTCCACTTTCTATGTTTGCAAGTTAGAAGTTCTAATTTTTAACTTTAAAATTCATCAAAAATCCATTGATCACACCATGAGCTAAAGAAACTAAAACATTAATTAACATGCGGTTAAGTAAAGTATATCTTAAAATTCAAATAGTATTAGGTCTAATGCTTCAATAAAGGTCAAAATTATAAGCAACATCCAATTGACAAAACTCATTTGAATTTTTAGCGTCAAACGCATTATTCTTCAATGCTGGTTCCACCAATTTTTTTTAATTAAAGTCGTCTTTAAGATCAGCAAATTGTTGAAATTTTTTGATGTACCATCTTGACCTCGATAAAGCAAAACCACCCATGTCTCATTATACATTAGAAATCAACAAAAGGACGGAAATTATTTATTAAAACATCAAAAAATCTCACCGGTAACCAGAAGCAATCCAGATGTAAGCTGCTTCAAGAAGACAACTCTCTTCCCCTTAAACCTCCCAGCCAATATAATCAACACAGTTCCTGGAGTAATGCTAGCCCTACAAAACATAAAACGCATCCATCACAACAAAGTAAACAGACATAAAACTGAAAAAAAAATCGACAAAGATCATATAGTTTCATGTAAATACCTGAGCTTAGTGGGCTTAGCTTTTCGCTTGTTGACAAGGGGTTTCTTGACATCGTCGGCAGGGTAAAACTTCGGAGGCTTGACGGCAACAGGGGCTTCGGCGGGCTTCTTCTCGTGGTGAGGGAAAGTGCCACCGTGTTTGGCCTTGATGGCCCAGAGTCCTCTCTTGTGGTACATCTTAGAACGGGAGAATTTCCCGACACCTCTGATAAGATCTGGGTTCCGGTTGGCATGGGGTGTTCTTTGCTTCGGCGCCATTGATGACCTTCGAACGATCTCTTGCTCCTCTGCTGTGTGGAAATGAGGCAAAAGAGGAGGTTTTGATAAATATTGTTGAACCTAATAACTTGCTGAAACCCTAGTTGGGACTTGGGACTGGGCTGTATGAAAATCGCAGAAACCCTGTTTGGGCTTATTTCAGCCCAATTTAGTTTCTTTCTTAAGAATATTAAAATGTTTTATGATTCACTAAACATAAAAGTTATGGTTTAGTCCTAAATTATTATTTTTAATGAAAATTTTATTAAATCTTCTCATTTTAAATGATTAAGGAGTTGTTTACCAAATCATCGTATTTTTAAAAATTGGTTACCTACATCATTTTAATCCAATAAAAATTACATTAACTGATTAGTAAAAGTTCGATGTTTTATTTATTTTATTCTTAAAATCCAAGGTCTTAATCATTCAAAATGTGAAAGTTCAGTGGTTTTCTCATTCAAATAAAACTAGAAGGGTACTCGCACAATGCAGCGAAATACATCTTGATTTTAATATTTCATTTTATTCTTTATCTCAGTCGATGTTATAATATGGTCTTATGTGATTTTGAAAAAACGATAATGTTTTTATTTTTTTAATAAAATATAAATTTGAACATATCATAAAATTTTGACAAAAATATATCGATATTAGTATTAAATTAACTATTTAAAGTTTTTATTTTTTCTGTAATTTTTTAATTCAACTTTTTTATTATAAATTAATTTAGGTTCAATAACGAAGTAATTTATATTTGGTTTAATAATATAATTTTCTTATAAAGATAATAATTAATTATTTTGTTAAACCCGATAATTATCCTGATTTTATTTTAGATTTTTTTTATATTTTAAAATGATATGTTTATTCTCTATTTGATTATGTTTATCCGCAGTTAGTTACACGAATTCAAGCATTGAGCTTTAATAAGTGGTACTTATGCATAATTTACTTGTAATCTTGAATTTTAAGTAATATGTATCAATATACAGTACTTCATGCATAAGAAATTGTTTTTAAGAGTTTTTGTCAAATGATTTATAATATAGTATAGATAACGAAATAATTTATTTTTGGTTTAATAATGTAATATTTTATAAAGATAATAATTAAGTATTCTGTTAGAACTCAATGATTATCCTAATTATATTTTAGATTTTTTATATTTAAAATGAGATGTTTATCCTGTATTTGATTATGTTTATCTGCAATTACACACGAATTCATATATGGAACTTTAATAAGTTGTACTTACGCACAATCTACTCGCAATCTTGAGTTTTAAGTAATATGCATTAATAAACAGTATTTTACGCATAAAAATTGTTTTTAAGAGTTTTTGTCAGATGTTTTATAATTTTGTCAAATGTTTTATAATATAGTATAGATTATGTGTTTTTAAGAAAACAATAATAAATTTATTTTTTAATAAAATAAAATTCAAAAATAAATTTGAAGATATTATAAAATTTTGAAAAAAAATGTCAATGTTATTATCAACTCAACTATTTAAAAGTTCTATTTTTTATGTAATTTTTTTAATTTTTTTATAATTTAATTTAAGTTTAATAATGAAATATTTATTTTTGGTTTAATATTATAAATTTTATAAAGATAATAATTAAGTAGTTATAATTCAATGATTATCCTAATTATATTTTAAATTTTTTATATTTAAAATGAGATGTTTATCCTGTATTTGATTATATTTATCTGCAGTTAGTTACACGAATTCAGATATGGAGCTTTGATAAGTTGTACTTACGTACAATTTAATTGCAATCTTGAGTTTTAAGTAATTTGCATTAATAAACAATATTTTACGCATAAAAAGTGGTTTTTAAGAGTTTTTGCCAAATGCTTTATAATATAGTATGATAGTTCAGGGACTTAATCATTTAAAATGAGATCGTATAATGGTTTTTTTCATTTACAAAATAGTTTAGGGACTAAACCTTTCAAACTAAGAAAGTTTGTTGGGTTTTTTTGAATTTTTCGGGGTTGGTTCATTTGTTAACTCTATATTTGACGTTAACTATGTGAACTAATCATGATCTTTAATTTATTTAATCTACAAACTAAAACATCAGTGACTTTTGTAATAATAATAAAATGAGCATATGTTATCTATAACTAAAACATCAGTGACTTTTGTTTTATTGTAGAAACGTATTCTTACTTCCCATATTTGCTTAGTTTTACTCGAACTTTATGTCTTACTGCATTGTGCGTGTACACAACCAGTAAAAAACTAAATAATATGGCGATTTATCTTTCATTTCCTATTAGATTGTCCAACTTCATTGATATAACTTGTTAGATTACCTAATCTTTTTCCTAACTTCTAATAACATAATCGTATAAGAATCACAATCATTGGCCATATAAATTTAAAAGTTACATCAAATACTCTAGGGGATCGTTTACCAAACGCTTATCCGGGTAAACGCGTACCAAGTCACATTACCTCACCAGATGAATATGGTAAGGACAACGACTCTTACCACAGTAAACGCTTACCGGGTAAATTATTACATGTGATGTCGTTTTGGTGGACGAAAATATTACCAGGTAAGTAAATAGTAGTGTTAAATAGAATATTAATAGTTATATAAAAAGATGAATGAATAAATTTGTTAATTACAATTGTGGTGGCAACCATTGGTCACCATCTATAAAAGAGGCATTAAGGAAAAGAGAAGCTTGCGTGTCATTAAGCTTTTGGGCATATGCTACTCTCATTGATGTATTTGCTCCTCCTCCCGTGCACATGTACTCTCCATAGAATATGCTCCTGCCAAGTGCCATCCACAACGTAAACCAAGATATTATAAACCTAAGTCTTATTAACTAAGCAGTATATGATGACATTTAGACATATAGTGATAAGAAAAGATAAGTAGTTTTGATTAATTACTTACTGGTCTCTGGATGGATCATTGAAGTCATTCCATCCCTCAGGGGCAATAACGTCAGACATGAAAGTGTAAGCAAATATAACTTTAGAGAAGGGTCTCCATGCTCGACCTAACCATATTCTTCCAGTACCACCAATGTTACATCTTACGAATGCAAACCCACTGTCTTCATCTGCTGACGCTCTTCCATGTGCTGTTACTGCTCCGTTTATACTCTTTTGTCCTACTGCCACCATCGGCGCCATCGATATCAACTCGCAATCCTATATGTATACACATGCAAATGCTTCTTCTTATATGCATGCTTTTTTACGAAATTTTGATTTATCATCATAACCTAATCCTATATATGTATGTGTAATAATCACCCTAAATGTACATACAAATTGTACCTCATACAGTGATTTTGCATTGCCAAATATGAAGTCGATTGAACCTTGAATATAACAATTCTTGAAGTAATGACGACCTCTATCATCATGAAGAGTATCTTGTGCTCCAAAAAATCCACACCCCCAAAATGCAGCTTGATCTCCTCCTACTCTAATCGCTACTGCTTGTGCTCCAATGTCTCCAGGCTTAGGAATCGGTGCCACATTCTAGCACGATCAAAAACATTTTAGTTTTGTCTGAAAATGTGCCGATTTAAGCTTCGTGTGTGTGTGTCTTATATTCATGCCTACCATGAAACTAATGTTCTTTGCTACGAAATTTGTTGAAAACACTTGCACTGATGCACTGTAGAACGTGCCATGCGAAGAATTGGCAGTGTCATTCCATACAATTGCGGTTGTAGTATATCCTTGCCCTTGAAATGTTATATTCGGTTTTGTCTTCGGGATTATCACCTTTTCGCTTAAGTTTGACATAACAAGTAAGTCGATAGATCATCAATAAATGGTAAGTGTGTTAACATGGGATTAGCGGAACAAGAGGCAGTTATTGTAGGACATGTAAACCAATTATATCTTGCTAAGAATAGGGTTTTTGCGGTAAGATGTATGCAAACTTTATCTCTATCCAAAAAGGTGGAGAAACAATTTTGACCTTTAGCTTGTGAAAGATAGGTTTGCGGTAACATATTTTGAAAAGACAAAGAAGTACTTGAGATGTTCTTGAAAAAGTACAAAGTTAAGGAAAAGTAGAACAAATATTTACAACAAGCAAAAAGGTTAACTACTATAAAAAGTAAACGCATACTACAAAACACATAAACTTACAAGTAAATGCCATTATTGATCCACATTATTGTTCTCTTAGGGTTAGATGTCATGACTGCATCAACTGCAGACTGAATAGACGTAAAATTACAGCATCCATTACGATCGATGCAAAATGTCGTTGTGGTGTTGGTATCCGGAGGTAGGGAATCACGAGGAAAATCATCACATATGTCGAATTTCTTGGCCTTCTTGTCACGATGGTGGCGATGACCCTCTAACCAATCAGTATATGGATTTACAATGATCGACACCGGTGACAAAGAGATAACATGCAGTTCTTCTATCCAAAACCTAAAGAATTCTAGGTTTGACGACAAAAAATGCGTAGTGGCTAACAGGGCGACAAGCAGGGAGAAGACATTCATGTATCGAAAAGTCATACTTTTGATGTTGGAAGAAGAAGAAGGGTTTGAATAAAAATGAAGAGATGGAGGGTTTTTAAAGAAAGCACTTGAAGTAGAAGGGTTTGATGACATGTCTTGCAAACTACCCTGTCCCTATGATTTCAACCTACCAACACTTTGGAATCAAATTGTTTGTTGATAAAAAAAATCCAAATATAAATTAAATAAATAAAAAGTATTTATATTTTTGTATGCTTTGATCGTAATATAAATAAAAAACATTAATTCTTTTACTAAATAATTTACGCAGAGATAATGTTTTAGATTGACGGATTAAAGTTTTAATCAACTTTAATAGTTTAGATTTAGTTTTTTTATATTTAAATATAACTCTTTTGAGTGAAAATTGAATAAATCATTACTAATTACATAATATAAACATAGACTTGGGATCATATGAGACCAAGACTTTTTCGTGAAACCCGTAAGACCACTTCTCAACCCTTGGATTAGATCTACAATCTCAGCATTCATAATCACAAAATTGCCACGAGACTTCTCAATAATTACAAAATTGTCACCGTGCAAATTTAGATCATTAGATCATTAGCTTATAAAGTTGATCAATAAACATAAATTGGTCTCACGTGAACCCAACCCTATAAACATATCTAAATATTAACTATTTGAATATTATAATTCGTTTGTTGTGTATTTATGTAATATACTGAAATATAAAGTTCAAGTAGAACCATAATATTTTTTTTAGCAATTTCTCATCAAAAATTATAAAGTTTATGATATATATCAGCATTTGAGGTTTATCTTGTATATGAATGTGTTTAAAAAAAACCCCATTAATCAGGATGATTTATTGAGTTCAAAATATAATGGTTCAATAAGTTGTATATATATGCTAAAAAGTTATAAATTTGAATTTTGAGAAGCAATATCTGATGTTTAATAACCACTTGGGTTATGCATGTATTGGTTAAGACTCAGAAGATGCAGTGAAATCTCATTTTCCCTAGGCTTGAATCCAGATGCTTCCAAAAGCCCTGCGGTCATGGAGGTTTATCTGTGTTGACTTGTCACGTCCCGATTTTTTTTTCTTTAATTCGTATGTCGTGACGTCATTCTTAATAACTTATGCCATGAACACAATACGAACCCAAAATTTTTAAACATACATAATATGTTAAACATAATTCGTTACATAATTGCGGAAGCATAAAATACTTTAACATAGTCAATGCTAATTAAAATATATAATCAAACATGATTCAAAACATAGTCCGTCTTTCTTCATTCACTCGTCTACTGATAAATGACACATGAGATATATACATGTATAGTATAAGCTAAAAGCTTAGTGAATACAATATGGTTTCATGATCACATGCACATATAAACAATGTTTTAGTGTATTTTAGTTATTATCTTGCAAGCGAGGCCTCGGCTCGTCACTTTTCTTTGCGTATGTGGCGTATTCTATGGACGAGGACTTCAAGACCTCGGAATTGCAAACCCTCCTTTCATGTCCAACCCACCATGTACGGTGGACGAATCTTGCCGAATCATACTAGTTGTATATCATTTATTTACAATACTCACTCATTAATGCAAATCTCATCGTGACATGCAACATACATCTCATGCAAGTGACAACATAAATCACATATGTATCATCGTCATTTTTCACATTATACACATACTTGAATATCATATTGATAATATCAAGTCATCATAATCTGTCTCATCAACATCATCTTTTTATATCATGCATATACTTAAATATCATGTACATCAATACAATCAAGTTATCATCATATGCGTATAACTACATCATGCAAACATCATGGGTAAAATACTTTGTAATAATCATGAATATATCCCATAAAAATCGCATAATGTACTCACCTTGAATCGTGAACGTTCGATAGGGTCGTTCTCTAAAAAAACGCAATCTACATGATAATTCATACCATTCCTAATCATTTTACATAATCGAAACTAAATTGATCGTTATTCTCCAACAATCTTAGCACGACTAAATTTAACAATTTTTATTGATCAACCCCGATACCATCATATCTCAAGTTCGCTCAAATATTTTCTTGAAATATTATTAATAATGTGACGTCGTTATAATATTAATTGTTGCTCGTTCATTTTATAAAAATAAGCAATACACTTCCCATTTTCTTGAACAATAAGTATTTTACCAAAATAACTAAACTAAATAGTTCACAACGTAAATAATGTTTTGTGACCAAAACGTCTCGTTTAAGATTTGTAAGTGAATAATGGTGACAACATGTCACACCCATATAAATAATGGTCATTCCATAAGTTTAAAGTTCAACATATTAATACTCGAAATAATGTTTAGAATATCAATTTTCCAAGTCTAGGGGCATTTTGGTAAATCTTGTAACACTCCCCAAAAGTAAACAACAAGGTAGGAGATAAATTTAACCGATAAAGCAAAACACAAAAAAAAAAGAGTTTAAAAGAAAATCACCCAACAACGGAGAATAGTAAAGCGTTTACAAGCGACAAATGAGGCGATAAAAAAACAACCTATTAATCTAAACAATTCTATGCCTAGATTAAGTACGGGTGTTTCTACCAACTCCAAAAAAAATACGAAATCGACCAAGTAGTAACGCTCGAAACATCAAGTGCTTTTACTCCAAAAAGACTTTAACGAACTACCTTCCTCTCAACCTTTTGATACCCCTCCGCTAAAGGAACCTGATAAGCAAATCATTTCAAGAAAGAGTGTTAGGCTTACGCCTAGTGAGTTCAATTAATAGTGTAAAAGGGACTATAAAACCTTTTTATTTAAAATGCAATTATATAAAAAATATCGAACTTTAGACAGTGAAAGAGGGAACGTAGGTCCTAAGTAATTTGTGGAGGAGTCAAAACATCCGAAGATGACGGGGAAGACCCGATTTACCGTTGATTGTGACGGAACATAAAGTAAGGCATAGATCAACGTTTCAGAGCATCACTTACAGGTTATACACCATTGACATCAACCTAACCAGTCATGTAGTCGGTCGTGATCTTAAGCTCTTTACCTCGGAAATTACATAATAATCTCAATGCCTATTTTCGAGTGGAAATGAGAAGATAGATTTGGAAGTTACATAATGATCACAATGCCTAAATCCAAATCATAACAATCTTCTCACAAGGTAATTAAATCAACTTCCATGCCCATACTCCATTACACTCCGGTAATATGACTAAAAGTGACGTCTTAATGCATAATGTCATTCATTTAAGAGTAAGTATTACACACGAGTTCCATAGCCATGAAATATTTCCTTACTCCTAAGAAAGAGCTCCTCATACATATATTTTAAGGGTTTTTAAGGCCAACAATACATGGAGTGTATGATCTACATAGTGAATAACCAATTTTCAACTCATTAAATCAATGTCAACGGAATTTCAAGTTGCCACACTCTAGACCTATAATCCTCATCCCATTCAAGTAAAAAAATTTATAGGGGCTAAAGTAAACGACAAACAAATACCCTACCACAATTATTAGAGGGTTTCGTGAAAGAATAAGGGAACTCACCTTGTAGGATTTAGGAGAAATCCCAAAATCTGGACTGTTGTTTGCAAAGCCAAACAAAGAAACGACGTAGTAGTTGTTGCTGTTTTGGCGAAGGAACGACGAGCAGCACAATAGGCTACTGTTCGGTCAAGAAAACGCAGAAAAAATGCAGCAGTTGCTGCTGTTTTGGCGAGGCAGCAAAAACGAAGAAGCAAGACAGCAGCGACTGCCGCTTGCTGCTGCTATTTGTTGTTCGAAAAGGGCACAACACCTGATGTTTGGGGCAATGGAGACGAAGGAACAAGAGCAACAATTGCTGCCTGCTGCTGCTGTTCGAAAGGCACCGCAAGGCTGTTGTTTGGCAAGGAAGTGAAGAAAAGAGACAACAGCGGCTGCTGCTTGTTGTTGCTGTTCGGAAGGCACCGCAAGGCTGCTGTTTGGCAAAGGAAGTGAAGAAAAGAGACAGTAACAGCTACTGCTTGTTGCTGCTGTTTGATGAAGCACGACAACGCCTGCCGCTTGGTGGATCTGAGGTGCGGGAACGACTGGAAAGTAGGCGGACGTGGGCCGGGGCATGGTGCAGTCGTGCGTGGACTGGAGTCGCTGTGCAGACCTGGCCGGCGCTAAAAAGGTCACGCCGGCGACTGCAGTCTCTTCCCGAGTGTTTTCTTAGCCTGATGAAACCATGGCTCCTCCTCCTTCACTATCTCAAACAACAGTTATTGATGTTCCTTCATCTGGCCGAATTCTTCCAAATGGAAGGGACCATCTGCTCCCAGTAGTTCTTACCCCTCCCTTACTTCACTTTCTCCCCTTTTCTTCCCAATCAATGAAATAGTAGGTAAAAACCCAAAAGTGAGAGAAAGAACTATTTTTTTTAAGGAAAGGAGGTTCTATGGGTAGGATAAGAAGGCAGTAGCTAAACCCCCCTTTACAACTAACCTGTCCTTCCCTATACCTATATATATATATATATATATATATTTAACAAAAGACCTGATAACAAAATAAAATGCTCTAAGCTCCTAGTATAAAACATATACCCACAAAAGGAAACGTATACCTCACCAACGAGACGAAGAAAAAAAATGTCGTGAACGAAGTAGAGAATAAGGAAAAAAAAATTCGGGTGTTATAATCCTACCCACCTTGGATTAAATTTCACCCTCGAAATTTAAGTTCACGCGAATAGGTGAGGGTAACACCTCTTTAAGTCCTCTTCTGCTTCCCAAGTCACATTTGACCCTCGATGATGCTTCCATCTTACCTTAACCATGACCACCTCCTTGTGCCTCAACACCTTGGTCTTACTCTCCAAGATGGCTCCTGGTTCTTCCACACATCGGTTGTTCTCATCCACATGAATTTCTAAAAGTGGTATCACACTATCTTCTTCTGCTAAACATTTACGAAGGTAGCACACATGGAATGTGTTATGGATTCCCACCATTTCCGGTGG